CAGGCGGGTCAGAACCAGGCGGGTCAGAATCAGGCGGGTCAGAATCAGGCGGGTCAGAATCAGATGGGTCAAAAACAGATGGGTCAGAACCAGGCCGGTCAGAACCAGGCGGGTCAGAACCAACCTGGCCGGATGGTGAGCAGGATCTGGACCAGCTGAGCCACTGTTGTCAGGTGCAGCAGGTGGAGATGAGCAGAATCCTCAGAGCTGCGTCCTGATTGGTCCAGACTCTGGACCGAGCTGTAGGACAGAACGCTGTACACCTGCAGACAGAACCACAGGGTCACCTGGAGCCACTCTGGGCAGAAACTGGGCCGGCAGACTCACCAGCAGGTGGAACATGTCGATGTCCAGGATACAGGGACCGTCGTCCGCCTGGCGGTCCGGAACCAGAACTGGATCACAAAGCAAATGGCCCGTTAGTAGCTGAATGAGCGGGGGAGTAGAACCTGCCAGTCCTGTATGTGGGGGTACCTGACATGAGCCTGATGAAATGACTGTGGACGGTTCTGAGAGGAGCTGAGGTCCAGCAGGCTGAGCTGAACCGGGTCAGAGAGCTCAAGCAGTCTTCCTGAAAAACACAAAACCAACCGTCAGCTGCCGTACCGGCGCCGGCCACTGGGAGCGCTGTTCATCACATGGTCTGACCTGGCGGCAGGGCAGGCTTCCAAACAGCGGCTTCTTCTCTTCCTCCAAGAGGCGCTCTGCAGGGAGACACAGGAGACCCTGGATCAGCGCCACCCAGAAGGGCCCAAACCACCAGAACCAGGAGGACCGGCCAATCAGAACAATACTTCTATGAACTTAGAAACGGAGTGAGTAGACCCGCTATCTAAATGTTCTGGTACGGTTCTGGTGCCGTTTGGACCAAAGGTTCTGACCCAGAACCTGGCCGCAGCAGCTCACCTATGCTCTGGACGGTGAAGGCGCAGGTGGCCCAGCTCAGCACCGCCACCCGGGGGTCCTGCTCGTTGGGGTTCACTCTGAGGCCCACCTTGTAAGCCGACATGCTGAAGGTGTTGATCATGGTGCTGATGCCGCTGGAGTACGGGTTTCTGAGGGAGGAAGTGACATCATCAGCACAGAACGGCATCAGCCCCCCCCCCATCCAAGCATGAAAACTTACGGTGGAATAAAGTCGACTCTGAAACCATCAGGAGCCGCCTCCTCTGCTGCACCTGCAACAAAAATCATTCCCCCTGAACACCTGAACGGACAGACGAGGCTCCGTCCACCAGCAGCTGACTCACCAGGTGACTGCTTCCTGTGGGTGGAGCATAACGCTGCCATCTGCTGACTGGTCCTCTTTAGCCACGCCTCCAGACAGGGATGCTCCACACTGAGGGAGAAAGAGAGGCGTCAGGAGCTGGGGGTGAGTTCAGGGCGGAGCCTGCTGAGCATGCAGGTACCTGGTATCAGGTGAGGCGGCGTGCGGCAGCAGCGGGATGACAGTGTTGCTCAGACACTCGCACAGCGGGCACAGGAACTCTCCGTTCTCCACGTCGTAGCTGGTGTGTCCTCTCAGACGCTGCTGCCGTCTCTGCTCCTTCTGCTGGACCGCCTCGAAGTACCTGAGAGCAGAACAGGTGGTCAGGTGAGCCGGCTGCTGATTGGACAGACTAAGCTGCAGCCTCTCACCTCTGCCAGCAGGTGGCGTGCATGATGTGTCCACAGCTGGCCGTGTGGATCCCCACCCGGAGCTCAGGGTGCATGAACAACGGGTCGTGATGTTCTGGAACAGAAGCAGGAGGCCTGAGGCAGGAACCAGGATGGCTGCGGTCCAAACCCAGAACGCGGCGCAGAGTTCTGCTCACCTGGATCCGGAAGGCTGCAGCCGCGGTTCTGGGACAGAACGGTGGATCTTTGGACGAACGCTGCCAGCACCATGGCTCGGCCGTGACCCCTGACCTCCTGCTCCTCCTGACACAGGATGCAGGTCACCGACTGGCGCCGCTCAGCCCAGCCCATCCTCCTGGGCCCCACGCAGATCTGGGAGGCACTGGTCAGGTCTAAACTGGGAGGACTGGGAAAGAGGAAACGGGTCAGAGGAACCGACCGAGAGCTGCTCAGCCTCCGTCCTACAGACCCACTGACTGATCCTCTAAACGACGCCGTAGGACGGGCCAAAAGAATAAAGACAGATAAATTGCATTCAAGATGAAGAAATAAATAAAAGTTATCTACAAAACAAAGGTTTAATGGATACTTTTTAGAAACTGATTAGGAAACGCCTGATTCCCCAGATCAGATGGTACGGTTCCAGTTGGCTCTCGCTGTCACCAGTCCTGGAAGCAGTGTTCCGTGCTTTTAGCGATTTTTGAACCTCTCCATTCATCCAGAGTCGTTGGTTTGCCCGGTGCTGATGCTGACGTCCTTAATGCATTTGTTGATGTAGGCTGACCCAGTCAAAGCATACTCATCTATATAGATCTGGTTATCATAGGGGGGCTGCTCTGAATGCATCTTTGATGTTAAACCAGGTCTAAAGTGTTTTCACCTCGAGTTGCAAAGTCCACATGTTGGTAGAAATGAGGGAGAAGAGTGTTTCAAGTTAGCCTGGTTAAAATCCCCAGCAATCTGTGTGCAGATTGGAGCTCAGAGATAGAACGGTTCGGATGGTTCCATCCCTAATATATATATATATATATATATATATATATATATATATATATATATATGGATGGACTGTAGTGAACTTATTCTGGCTAACCGGGTGGAGACTGTTTCAGAATTCGCTCTGATGGATGTATAAAAATCTAGTAATGCATTCAATAAAAAGTTTAAAAACTTCTGTTAAAAGTTTAAAAAATTTGTTTTTGCAATTCTTCTTCTGTGGTGGCTGCAGCGTGCAGCAAGAGCAGGAAAACAAAGAAGGGATTAGATCTGGAAAGTTTAAATAATTAAAACAATGAAGTAGCTCTAATGGATGATTTAACCATGAAACTAGTTAAAATAACTGATCTTTTCTACATCCTTCCTCTGCTGCTGCATCAGGAGGAACTCCTTTTTCTTTCATTTCTATCCATTGAGGACAGTTTCTCTCTTATCTGATATTCGGGGTGAGATCACAGGATGTCAGCGACGTTTTTATGCAGCCGACTCTACAGATCGCAGCCTTTGGTTTCAACGGAACAGATGCTAAGGAAGGCGTCAATAAAAAGCCCTTTTTCCTGTGAAACTCCCACAGTGGGTGGGTTCCCAGGTCCAGGGAGCGGCCCTGGGTCTGTCTGGAGGAGCAGGTGTACCTGTGCTCTGCAGCAGAAGTGGACGCCTCCAGCTCCTCCATGCTCTGCTGGAAAAGCTCTTTGTTCTCGTTGATGAAGTGTCTCTGCATCTCAGACATCTGGGCCATGATCTTCTCCCGGCGGAGGCGAGCCATCTCGGCCTTCCTCTTCCTCTCCGCCTTGTCTTTGTCTCTGACGGTCTGCAGGAAACAGGAGCGTCATTCAAGCAGCCAGAGCAGCTGGTCGGCCTCAGCAGGACAGAAGCTCACCTCCTCCAGGCCTCTCCCCTGGTTGATGGTGATGCTGGAGCTGGACGAGGTCCGTTCTCGGATCGTTTTGATGTTTTCAACCATCTGCACACCAAGAACACCACAAAGCAAACGCCTGATTGGCAGGAAGCACTATGATCACAGGACAGCGCCAGCGAGGCTTCAGACCAAAAGAAGAAGAAAAGCAGGTACCTTCAGGATCCATGTGATCATGTCTTTGTGGACCTCAAGGTGAGGAGCGTTCTGCAGACTTTCCAGCAGAGCCAGGACACTTCCTGAGGTGCTGGGAGCTTCACCTGGACCTGAACACACAGCCAATGCCACAGAGTCACAGCCTGCCAGTGGACAGGGTGGGGGGGGTAGGGGGTGCACTGACGTGTGATCTTGTTGCTGTATGTGAAGGTGACGTCTTCATCTCCGCTGCTGCTCTCCAGCTGCTGCTGCTCCTCCAGCAGAGCCATGCCCACCAGGTGCAGCACCTGCAGAGGAGGAAACAGACCTGCGTCAGTGAGAGGCGGAGCACGGAGGGGGCGCCGCCGTCCGCCTGCTCACCCTCTGCAGCATGGACTCCGTCCAGCCTCCTCCACTCGGCTCCACGGCCCACTGCAGGACGGTGCCCTCTACGGCCAGCAGCACGTCGCACTGCAGCAGGTTCACCAGGCTGCCGAAGAGCGGGCAGAGAGGGGGGGGGAGGGGAGGTGGCAGGGCTGGGAGACACACACAGGTTACCATGGTAATACAGTCACTCAACCAGCTTCTGATGTCTAAAGAGCTCGTTATGCTTGATGGACGGACGGACAGTATGTGCAGGAAAGGAGCCGTCCGTCACCGTGTCTGAGCGTCTACACTCTGCTTGCCATGATCTCGCCACGATTGGAACCAAATTTCAGAGCAGAAGCTCAAAATGACATCAAACAAACATTCGCCAAGCCTTGGCGTTCACCTGTGTCCTCGCCGTTCTGTCTCCTCAGCTTCCTCTGAGCCTCCTCAGCCTGTCAAGATAAGCCCGTAACCATGACGACACACGCCAACAGCTGAGCAGGACGTAGAGTTCTTATGGTTCTGATCCGTTACCTTTGACTGATCCGCTCTACTGTAGTGATGGAAGTACAGGTTGAAGTGTTTGTTCCACTCAGGACGCAGCTC